TACCCCCCGTCCTTCTGCCGCTCTCATGTCTGATAACTGATGAAGAACCCAAGAGCTCTTGAGTCAATCCAATAAACATGATCAATCATAACAGCTACATTAAGACATGCTGATTTAATTGCTTGACTTGTGCAGATAATGTAGTTTCTGAAAGACTAATGAGCATAGACTATTTCATGCACGGCGAGGAAATATTTGTAGTGGATCAGGAAAAATGGAGAGGAAAGGTTGTTGAAACATTCTAATATTCCAACTTAATATGTACAGACACCTATAAGTAAGTCATTTGCTGGATGATTTGCGTGAAACGCAACTATCTGTTTGAATGGGCATCCCGACACAACACTGGCCTAACCAATGGCGTGAGGTAGGGGGTGGAACTGACTTTTGGTCCAACAAATGGTAGATCAGAGGTGACGTGACATGTGACGTGACATGTGGCCAAGTATGGTGACCCGTACTTGGAATTAGTGCTCTGCATTTAACCCATCCAAAGTGCACACACACACACCGTGAACACACACACACACTGTAAAAAAAATTCCGTAAAATTTACGGTAAAAAAACGGCAGCTGTGGTTGCCGGAATTTTACCGTATGCCGGTACGAGACTCAAACCCACAACCTTTGGGTTACGAGTCCGACTCTCTAACCATTAGGCCACGACTTCCCCGGTATTCAGGAAGTATTCAGTGCACCTGTGCAAGAAAAAAAACTATCAATTTGCAATTCCATTTAATGATGTCAATGGTCATTTGATGATCTGCCATAGAAACACATTAACAAATGTCAGCTCAGCACAACTGTTCACTGACGAGTGCTGACTGAGACACACACACTGAGGAAACCCCATGTACTCTTTTACTGAGCGATCATCAAAGCCCATTAAATCAAGTGAGTGTCCACAGAGACAGGAAATTGAGGAGGGGATTACGATCTTTGCATGATGAGGAGGGGCAAGATTTATGTGTCATTTACCAAAAAGATTGTAAAACTTAATTACAGAAAGTTCCCTCACACGCACACACACTCACACCTAACTGCACATAGAGCACTATTCATCTATACACACCCTCTCTCACATTCTCTCCATTTTTCCATTCTCAATCCATCCATCTATCTATCCATTGACCCTAAAAAAGCCCAGCCCAGTAAATAATGAACAATTAAATCATCAAGAATAGAAATGAAAGCAAAAAACTCAAGTTGTAACAGGCAGAACACCTATGTCAAGTCGGAGTGAACTGCCATTTGAAAGTTATTTTAATTTCACAATACAATGTATTTTCAATACATTCAATGAGAAAAAATGTGGGGCGGGACTTAATTTGTTCTATTAGGAATTTATTTGATTGTGAAAAGTGAGAGTTACACTACAGCTCAAAAGATTTCTTAGTCATTTTGGCAGAAGTCTCTCATACTCACTGAGGCTGTATTTATCTGATCACAAATACAGTAAATACAGTACAATTTAAAAGAACCGTTTTCTATTTTAATATATTTTAAAATCCTTTATTCATGTGATGGTAAACCTGAAGTTTTAGCACCCATTACTCCAGTCTTCAGTGTCACATGATTCTTCTGAAATCATGCTGGTTTTGGTTTCCACAAAATGATTAAGCAGTAAAAACTTTGTGTTTTCATGTTTCATGTTGGTTCTCAACATGTTTCTTGAGCACCAAATCAGCATATTAGAATGCTTTCTGAAGGATCATGTGTTCTTTGAAACGGTAATAATAATTCACAATTTCAACAGTTTTTTCTGTATTTTTGATCAAGTAAATGCAGCCTTGGTGAGCTAAAGATACTTCAAATAAAAAAAAAACTTAAAAAGTCTTAATTCCTAAAAAATTTGAACGGTAGTTGGAGCCAGATTTAATGTGAGTCTGCTTAAACATTCCCTCAATAGCTACATGCTCATTGTCCAATAAGAAGCACATTTGAATAACATTACTAAGACAAACACTGAAACATCCACCAATTTCCTCATTTGCAATGAGACCAAAAAAAGTGCTTTAAAAAAAGTATATTGACTTTAATAGTTCAACCTCATTATGGCTCTCAAATGAAGAGTAATTCCTCCCAAACCCTGTCGGTTTGACAAACGTAAAGCGCTTACTCAAGGTGTATATAAAACTTGAGCAGGCTCTTTAGATGAACAGCATGCCCAGAACCTTTGCACCAGGCCTAATTACTCTAGTAGCTCTGAGGAGAGGGCGGCCCGTTTCTATTCATCCCGGCCGGCCTGAAAGACCCTGCACCAGATGTTTCTGAAAGGGGGATCTCTTTTCTTCTCTTCTCCCCTTCTTTCATAAGTCAGTGACTAACTTTTTGACCTCCCCTCCTTTCTCCTGCAGGTCTTGTGTGTGAGGGTCAGAGAGAGGTGGTGAGGTTATAGTGAGGTCGGGGCACATTCAATTCAGCACCAACTGCACCTCCCCTCCCGGCCTCCTCCGTGCCACATCCATCTCTCCTCTCGTCTCTCTCCTCCCCCTGTTCCTTCAGACAGCCCTGAAGAGCCACAGATGCCGTTCCCCTCTGTTTTCTGTAATTCATCTTCAGGAGGGGGGACACAAAGAGGATGCTTGTCGGACCGAGAGGAAGAAATACGGCTCTCTCTACCTTCCCGCACAATACGACCAAACAATAAACACTGCTTGTGTACACACATCATGACAGAATAATGTGGCCATAAATACCAATACAGACACTCCCTCTCGTAACGTCTCTCCTTCCTACATGCAGAGACACACACATCGTAATCATACTACACAGCTCTCGGCTATCAATTTGTTTTTATTTCGTAGTATCGATGTCAATAAAAGTTCAATATATGACACTTGCTTACTCCATTGGTAACACTTACAATACATTTGATGAAGTATTCGGTATCAGGAACTAACAATTATAAATTTTTAACAGCATTTATAAATCTTGGCTAATTTAATATTTTACTTTGTATCCACTATATATCGGTTAGAGATTTTTTATTTACATTTTTTTAAATCTCAAATTAAAAAAAATTTTTTTTTTAAGTGTTTTAGTGTTTTATTTGACAAAATACATTGGCCTTAACATGAACATAATGATCGGCTTATTAGTATCAACCATAACATTAATAATAAGTGCATCCCAAATTATCAGTTCACATGAATGCATCACCAGATGTATAATTTGTAATGTATGAAACATATCTGCATATGTACAAAATAGCCTTGACCGAGATTAATAATTGCTGTAAAAGTCTTGTTCATTGTTAGTTCATGTTAACAGTCGTGATGATTAATGTCGACATAACCTTTGCTGTAAAGTTTCACCACTCCAGATCACAATCCAAGCATCTGTCACCAACATGTCCCGTGTATGAAACAATTGCTGCTTACATTGAAAGGTGCTGTCTGCTTCTGTGTAAATGCAACACAGCTGATTTACATAACCCAGACAAAACTACAGCCCCGACACCATGAACGATGTTTAGATAGACCTTAAGGGCCTTCATACAACAGCTATATTTGTGCATGCACTGCTCGCTGATGTTATAAAGCAAATGGTATTAAGTCTGTTTTGCTCAATTCCACGATTTGTTAACAACACAAGGTGACTAATGGCATTTTAAGTGTCTCTCCATCAGTTTGAGCTTTACTACACCATTGGTCTGTGTAAATACTTCCACACATGCATAAACAATGACCTCGGCTCTGATTGGTCAGAGTGTTTGCTCTGATGGAGTGAGCGGTTTGGCTTGGTGAAGCACAGACTGAAAATAGCCAGGCCCCTGGCGTGGGTTTGAATCACTCATGCAGTTTATAGGGCACTGAACAGGTTTAATGAGCCACAGATAAATCTGATATTTCAGTCATTTCCCACAACACGCGGTCTCGATGCCTAATAACGACTTAGTTCATGATAGCACCTTATTTAAAGTCACTCCATTTAAGTACGAGCGCAAACACTGGGTCCAGCTGCATGGATTCAGTGTAACTCACCTAGTTTCTTGAAACTGTTGCTGTAATTACTGCATTTTGTACCTTAAAATAAACCAGGGTCTGCAGGCCTAAAATATAGAGGCCTGCTGTCCTGAAGCAGCCAGTTCCCCACCCATGAGCCGGGATGAGGTTAAACTCACAGCTTTTACCAACACCATGTGCACGCACGTGTGCGCGAGCGCATATTAGCAATGGCAGTTTGTTATAGGGAGTCATCAGTAACTGTCCCTATGATGCCAGAAGCTTAATTAACACTCTCTCTCATTAACACTCTCTCTATACGGCTCTCTCTCACCGGTTAACTCGCTTTCTCCCTCTCTCTCTGCTCTAGTCTCGGCCAATTACTGAGCCCAAATGGAACAGCATTAATCAAATCTTTAGTGCAGCAGCATGCTTTGAAATATCAGATTACGCAGGGCTGCAAAACTAATATGTCACTGTCACCGAGCTCGCGCAGGCATTTAGAGGCTAGCATTAACAAGATGGCTAACGTCACGAGCGTCTGTGCGCTATGTGGAACGCCGCTCTAGGGGCCATTAGTAAGACAAGGAAGAGGATAGCAGAGGGTTCTGCTTTCACTCCGCGCTCATTTTTTATGCCCCCTTTCTTCTTCTCCTTCCTCTTTGTCTTCTGCTTCTCTTATTGTCCTGTCAAAAGGCTCGCGCCGCAGACGAGGAAGAATGGGCAAGACAAACGGCCTGGTGAGAAAGGCTCGAAGGAGATTAAGCAAAGGGAGGAAACAGAGGTCAGCGAAGGAAAGGAGTTGGTGCCGAAAGGAGGACAATGACGCAAAAAGCATGAGGAAGGAAAGAGGAAAAGATGAGTGAAATCTTGAGCGGATGGACGGACAGATTCCGGGTGGAAATGTGCTGACCTGTAGGCATGTGCGCCTGGCATAACGGCTGCTTCTACGTGGTGTCAACACACTTTTCTCAGGGTGAAAAAAGAGAGAGCGAAGAAAAAAGATGGCTCTGTGAGAAAAAAAATGTGCTGTTACACAGGGAGTTTGGGCGTGCTCTGTGGCAGGAGGCAAAATAGATGACAGTGTAATGATATTAAAAGCCCAAAGTTGTTAAGATGCCAAGTCAAGGCCCCATAAATCCAGCCAGGGCTCCCACTGCCTGTCCCCACACCGCGTAATTAAATCTGATTTATGAGGCGTATTACAGCAGTGAGAGATAGTTCATATTCCAGCTCTGCTTTATTAGACAGCCTGACAGGCGCCAAAAAATATTGTCGAAGTTGCCTCGGCCCTAGCCGCCAAAAAGCCTTGCTCCGCACTCTGTCTTTTGTTGTGTCAGTCCTCCCTTCCTGTGATGGATTAGGCACTCTTTCTCACTCTTTCATTCGCTCTCCATCTCTTCCCTCAGTCAGAATGTGGTGGAACAGCCCCTTGTGACACAGCCAGACAGCTTCATCTTCATCAGTAGCCCCCAACGCCTCCACGCAGCCCCTGCTCCCGCCCCCCCGCTGGGCCGAGAAGGAAAAGAGGGAGGGCACAGGTATGGAAGAAGAGAGCCGTTTGAGAAGTGAGAAGTAAAAATACAGGGAGACAAGGTTATTGTAGTCAACTAAAACAAAAGTAAAACTAAAACCATTGTAAAGCGTTTTTGTTACTTGAAGTCAAACAAACATTAACTTAAATATATAAATACATATAAATGTAAACTTATTATATTTTAAGCAAGTTGCTGAGGAACTAATTATTTTCATTTAGTTTAACTTGATGTTTTTTTCCTCTATATTTCAATTACCGCATAGTTATTTTTTATTTGGTGTCTGTTCTCTTTATTATTAGTGTTATATTTAATTTTATTACCTTAAATTATATGTATGTCTGCACTATGTCTGTACTTTCTGCACTAGAAGCTCCTGTCACCAAGACAAATTCCTTGTGTGTGTAAACACTTGGCAATAATGATCTTTCTGATTCTGATGTAAAAAAATTATATAGACATATTAAACAAAAATGACAAACATATTAAACAAATGACATAACAAAATTACTTAAAATTTAAACTAAAACTGCAAACTGAAAATAAAAAAAAATCAAACTTTTAATCAAAATTATATTAAAATAACACCAGAGACAGAAGCATGAAATCAGATGCATTTCGTGGCAAATTACACCACTTTACTTTGATTGGAACAAAAGAAAGTGAAATCTCAACATTTCTGTCTTTTCGCTGACAAAAACACTTCTGTCTTGTTGTGTTCTCGGTGGTTGTCCCGAGGCTGCTGCTTCAACAGGTACTAGAAATCTGAAGATCTTGTCTGATGTAGAAACACATCAAATATTTGAGCCAGCTAAATTGATTTTTCTTTCTAAAATTCGCTATCACTTACGCATTTTCAAAGAACCAAAGGGCCTCTCATAGTCACCCACACAGCTCTCCATTGATTAAACCCGAGAGACACAACAGGAGAGAAAACATCTCACCAGCAGACCTTAAAGATTAGAGAGAGAGAGAGAGAGAGAGAGAGCAAGAGCAGATAAAAGAAGAAAGGATGAGTGCAGGAGGGAAAAAAAACACCAGCTGATGTTAACGAGCTGGGACACTTTTATTATCATTATTAATTAGAGCTTTTCAAGCAACAGAATTAAATCAATACGCTGGAGTGAAACAAATTTCAGAAGGCCGCTCAGATCAATCAGGAAGGGTTTTTATCTGCGTAACTGCCACTGAGCTAAGCTCGTTAGTGAAACAGTCGTTAACAAGGCACTTGCGGCAAGAGGATAGATCTGAGCTATTTCTAATTAGGAGGACATAAACCCAGCAACCATTTCTCCTCTCTGATTAACTGTTAAGTTCATTTGTGATTTTACCCCCTCCTACTATCCTCTTTCTTTGTCTGTCACAAACACACAGACACAATCCCAATTTCTCATGTAGATCTATTTTCTCTTCTCGTCGGCTTCTCGCTTTCTCTCTCAGCCTAACCATTAAACAGGATTAAATGCTTGCAGAGATTCTTGCCTTGTGTTAAATGATTGCGTCCTTATAAGGGTAAATGAGACCATTTATCATGAGCCCGTCCTCTGGGTGCGCTGCAGGTCGTTAGCCATCTACCGTCATGAAATAATTAGTTTTACTATTAATGTAGCAAAGCTCAATGATCATGAGTGGCCACATGTCCCCTTACACTGGGATTAATTGTATTAATGTGCTCAGATGCTCACTAAAGGCCTTTAAAAAAGGATGAAATGTTAGCAGGGCTCTGAAACATGGAACAGTCTTGAGCAGATAATAGCACAGAAAGATTCAGCGCTGCTTCCCTTTTATATCGTCTTTAATACCAATAGATTATAATAGTGCATACTGATGATAATGGCTGAAATGGCTATATTATGAATACAGCTCTTACGTGGCACGCATAGTTCTAATATAATATTGTAAAACAGATGTAGTGCTGACTCTAAATTGGATTTGATATTATAAAAAAAAAAATTCTGATTGGAAAGTGCCATGTTATGTTGTGTTATATTAATAAGAATTTGCCGTTGCTCTTATTATTACTACTACTAATAGTAGAGGTGGGCAATATGACCAAAATCTTTTATCAAGATATGAGTAATTTTATTTCACAGTAATTATATATACAGTATATATATATATATATATATATATATATCACATCACAATAGTTATTTTTGCTTTAAATAAGGTCTTTATGATATCAACATTTTCGATACCATAGAAATTTTTGAATTCTAGTCACCAGTGTCAATATCACAAAAAAATTAATACTAGCCTAAATTAAAAAAATAAAACTCAAGCTCACTGAAGACAAGTAAACAGTCAGCGATTAAATAAGAATAAGAAACAAATTCCAAGCAACTGGACAAAAAACTACACTATCACAAATAAATAAGAAATGTTACATACATTGTATAAAGTAATCAAATGTATAAAAACACTGCATATTCTTCACTGTGTAAATTAGTCAAGAGTAGTGAGAGATTTTCTCTCGTTTATTGTTTGATTAACACGAATGACAGACAGCAGTTAGACTGAGAGCTGCCCGGATCCAACATACTGTTACATGTTTTATTTCTCAGCTGTTTGCTTTCACTTAAGACCTAAATTACTGTGTTTACGAGGATACTTGCAAAGACGGGAATTTTGACACATACAAGTGTATTTAACCATTAAAGGCCTATAAAGCAGCAAAAATAACTCAATACTCCCGCGCCCTATGAGCACCTTCTTCAATTACTTGTTTTTAAATCGCAATGCTTAAAAATGTGCACAAATGATAAGTTTTCGTGACTACGAAGCACAGCAATGTCACGTGAGCGTGTAACCGCGATACAGATGATAGTCCAAAATCTCTTATCAGTTGACAAATTTTTACTGGTTAATCATGTCTACTGGTATATCACCCACCCCAAATAGTAATAATAATAATTTCTTATTGATATAACATGATATAACATGGCACTTTCCAACATGTCAGAGAAGACCAATTACCCATAAAAACATCTCACTCATATCTTATAACATTGTATGAATGTTTGCCATTTCTAATTTCAAGCCAGTTCTAAGAATGATTGAAAACAATACTAAAACATAAACTGATTCCCCAGTTGTTATCATTTTTACATATTTTAATTAGAGAGAAATAACAGGGAATGAGTGACACCATAAGTGATCATTGTTGATGACCCAGTTCTTGAGGCAGTGTTATTAACCTAATGAAGAACAATGCTTGACTTGAAGTCCACAGCTGTTCCAGCCTCACAAACACCAGGAGGATGAGATGGAAAAAATTCCTCACAATGTCAGAGGTGACACTGTGTCTATGAGCAACCACAGAGGGGTAATGTTAGCAGAGACATAAAGGCTAAATGCTATTGGTGACGCTGGCTTTTTCCTATGAGCATTGTGATTAACCTACTGCTCCAGGTCTGCCTCTTGACCCTCTCTACACGCTGACCTCTACATCCTAGCACTCTTTCACAGCGTCTCTCTGCGGGCTGTAGCTGTAGTCATAGTAGGCCGCATCTGGGGCCTGTAATCAATGTCATGACACATTAGAAACAGTGACAGAATCCCCCCGTACTCGGTTGGAGTTTTACTATGGGTCAGAAACAGAGCCAAACTCCCTTCAGCATAGGATGTCTGTTTTTGTCCTTCATTCATCTATTGTTTTAGTGTGTAATTAGTTTCAAACAATATTTGTTTATCTAAATGTCTATTTAATCCAAGCCCAATTTTTATACATAAAAAATATTCAAACATGAGTGCTGCTTGCATGTGCACAGTTCTAGTGTGTTTTAGTAAGTCAACAGGACGTTGCTATGCAGTCTGCACTTATTGTAAGTGCATGGAAAGGCATTACTCTGTGATTGCTAGGATGCTGCCAATGATTGCTTACCAGGCCAAGTTAAAAGAGCTCACCCAGATATCTCTATAATGTTTTGTTTACATCCAAGTTATACATACCGAATGCTTAGGTTAGGGGTTTAGAATAAATAACTAAAGTAAGCATGAAATGGAAAGTCACCCTATCTGTTTTTTAAATTGATTTTATTGTGAACAATTCATCCATGCAATGATAGACTTCTCTCAGGTGATGTTTGCCAGACTTCTCCAATTATTTAGTCCGCTTAAACCATGCAAGCTCATAGTCTGATCTGTCTCCATTCAATCAACAACCGATGGATAGAAGTTTCCACCTTACATTGTTTTTCTTTTTCATACTCAGTTTCACTCAGATGTACAGTGCACAAAACAAAAGAGATCTGTTGCTACTTCTGTTTCATCTTGACTTTAAAGGGATAGCTCACCCAAAAATGAATACTTAGTCATCATTTACTCAATATCAAAATGTTCCAAACCTGTATCAATTTCTGAACACAAAAGAAGATATTTTGAAGAATTTGAGTGACCAAACTGTTTTTGTTCCCCAGTGACTTACATAGTATTTTTTTCCATACTATGGAAGTCAATGAAGACCAGTTTGGTTACCCACATTTTCCAAAATGTCTCAGTTTATGTTCAACCGAAAAAACAAACTCATAAAGGTTTGGAATAACTTGAAGGTGAGTAAATGATGACAGAAATTTTATTTTTGGGTGAACTATAACTTGGGCAAAAATACTGATTATTATTTAATTGCTCCAATACCAAACAATCCATTTAGCTAACTTTTCAGAGACATAACTTTGGAACTGTGAACAATTTTTAGTGCAAAAAAACTGTCAAACATATGAGTAATTAAATATCAGATTGTTAATAATATATACTTTTGTGTTGTTTGTAGTTCTGTTAAGCCTCTGGTTCTTGATGAGTCAAAGCAAAGTGTTTACTAATGTAGTAAACTTAGTGTGAATCATTACTTGAAGTCAGTGATCCAGAATCACACTCCAGCAGATGAGACCAATTTGGAAAAATTCTTACCCATCACTGATGCATTTTCTTATTCTTATTCTTTGTTCCAGATCCTACTGTCTGATTGTTGCCTAATGAATAGGCCATGTCTGAGTGCAAAGATCCTGCTGTACCCTAAGACAGATCGAACATCTGGACCCAAAAGAAAGATATAACACCAGTGTCATCACAGGCTGTGACTGCATAACCAATCCATCTGCATTACGAGCAGCACATGTGCGAGGGAGCTGAAGTGTGCCGTTTTCAAAAGTCTGGTTTATGTGAATATAAATACACTCGCATTTTTTTTGTGTGTGGGGGGGGTTCATGTGTGTGCGGTTGCAACACTCGGTGGCAATGTGCAATGTGTAACAAAGCCACTACATCACTGTAATTAGTTTTGTCATTCTCTCTCCCTCACTCACTCACCAGCTCTAATGTAATACAGAGCTCAGGCCAGGCCAGCAAGGCCATTAATGAGTCACACTGACACAGCCTCCAGGACCCCAGTGCTTTTTACTGTCTATCCACAGCCATGACATCAATTAATCACTTGTTAATCCTACCCCCTACACCGGCCTTACTGAGAGGGGGCAGGGGGCCGTGTATGATCCAAATTTTACCCATGCAGAAAAGCAGAATGGCTGACAGAGCTGAAAACAGACTTGTAATGAAATATAAGCTATATATATATATATATATATATATTCAAAAATAAAACAAAGACTCCATTATAACAGGGAATGCTCACTTTTCACAATCCAAGGAATCCAATCCATTCCCAATGGAATGAAATCCTGCCCTACATTTTTTTCTCTCTTTGAAAAGGCATCTCAAATAGACTTGAACTAGGAGAAACTGTTTAAACTCACTTCAAATTTTACTGTTAATTATGCACTTTAGAAACAAGAGAGATAAGCAAAGAACATGTCCTTAAAAGGTGTTGTGTGGTGTTTATTGTTGAGTGTGTACATCAGATTGTCTCCTCCTCCACAGTGTGACTGAGGGGATGCAGGTGCTGGATGGACTAATGTTGTACTAACAGGTGTTTTGGAGAGCCTGGCCATGTATGGG